GACCCAAATCCAGAGACCTAGCTGATGTAATGTTTTGCCAAAACCACATTGTATGAAGAACATAAAACTCAGCCAATGAGAAAGCAATGGTCACACAGTGCACAAGCTCACTCAGTACTCTGACTGAGTAACAAAACAGAAGTGTTTATTCACATGCTGTAAAGTCCAAATTACATCAAGGCTGTACAACTGGTTCTTGAGAATCAAAATGGCTTGACATGTGGACTAACACCATATATTTGTATATAGCGTTATATATATTTGTATATAGATACACACTTATCAGCAATAATGTTTGGATCAAAAGAGTGTTTGCAGTCAGCAAATAAGTTATTAGAAATTGTGTTCTGCCAGGAATACTTTTTCTGGTTTTTTTTTCTACATCACAATGTCTTTTTATTCTCTCAATCTTTTTTTCTGTTCATTTCCTCATATATTTTCCTTTTCTCCCTAAACCAGATAAAATTGATTGTATCCATTTTAGAAATCATCTGATCAAATACAATATTAAGAAAAAAAAGTCAATGTAAACAATGAATATTGGACAAAGTCTATTTGGAAAGAAGGCTTTGGGTAGATTCTTTTTAAGTGGTTTGATGTAAAGCACCAAAGACAAAAAATTATGAATGAGAGTGTCTGAGACTCTTCAGATAAAAATAACTGTATTCAGATATTTTTCCAGCCTTTGAATTGGTAAACTACATCATCAAATCTTGGATCAGCATCAGGTAATCATGTACAAGAATATTTCAGCTTTTAATACATAATGTTAATACAGGGCATGGCAAAAATAATGCATGTTTTATTTTTCTCTTTGAGCTGAGGTGGATAGGATAATGTTGAACAATTGTATGGCCATCACAATCACCAGACCTAACACCACCAGACTTTTTCTTGTGGGGTGTACTGAAAGATCTTGTTTACAGACTCAAACCAAAAACAATTCCTGAATGAAAACAAGCAATTTCTGATAAATTTTCTGAAATTAATGTAGAAATGTGTTAAACAGTTATGTAGAAGTGTTGCTGAAAGGTTTCAGCATGGTTTTGAACATGAAGGGGAGCATTTGGAACATGTTAAATAGTTTGATAATCATAACAAATCATATTGTTTTGATGTGATAATGCTTATAAATTGTCTTAAAGTACTGTAATTTATTTTTGTTCAATAAAAATTAATAAATAAAATAAGGGCTTTACTTTTGCCATACACTGTATATCTAAAATATGATTTTACATATTTATCTCTCAATATAACATGGTCGCAGTACTTACTAATGAGTGAGTCAGTTGTTATAGTAACACCAGGCATTACGAGATGCTACGTGAAGCTAATATCTCATTATTATTTACACTTGGACTAAGAAAGTTTCTTCCCAAGAACAGCTATTTTGTAAAACACAAGAAAATGCTTCTTCAATTGCTACAATCTTAGCCTCTTCAAGTCTAAGGTCAACTGTTCTACACTTCTCTTCACCCCCTCTTATATTCTTCCAACAACCTCATTCAGTAACCCTCTACTTTGAGTGGCTCTTTGGTCTGGTATTGGTTAGATAATAGTAAAAATAAAAATAAAAGAACTATAGACAAGCTGTGTTAAAAACATCTCCACAATTATTCAATGATGAATAGAATATTATTGGTTTAGTTAAATATTCAGAAAGTATTAACCAAAGAAAATGTAGGGGCAATAAAGTTTTGAAAGCTGAAAAATGGTATGTATTAGAGTAATTTTAAACATTTCATTGTATTTATAATACAATGAAATTTTAAAAATTACTCTATCATTTTTGTCAGTATTGGTAAACTTGTCTTTTTTTTAAAATCATTTCATCCCAAGCAAGGTGATAATACCACTAAAACACAAAGCGTTACAGAGAGTGGAAGAAAATGAGAAATCTTTGGTGAAGAGAAAGGGCAATAAAAGAACAGAATTCAGGAAGGCAGAAGATGGCAATTGACATTACATTTAGATTTTTGCAGATTGTAGGCGGTAAGGAAGCAAGAAATCAGAAAAGAATTCCGGAGGTGAGAAGTGCAAGCAAAGAAATAGAACTTATGGTTACATCTTTTGCTATTTCAACAGTAAAATGATAAGACCTAGTAGCTAATCTAGTAGTACATGCATGCAGTCAAGATACCAAGGAAAAAAACTTATTAGAACAACTATCATGAAAATATTTATAGAAAAGGCAGAGGGAAGCCATGTCACAGTGGTGGGAAAGTGACTGAAGTTGAGATGCCAAGTTATGTTATAATTACAGACCCTTCTTGGATTTTGTCAAGAATTTCAAGATATATAAATATTCTTAGCAACAGACTTAACAATTCATTCAATATAATAGCTCCATTTTATGTCAGTAGAAAAAGTTAGCCCAAGAAGGTACAATGAGTTGCTCTCCTGGAGGTTAGCATCAGTCATGCTAAAAGGAGGGCAAAAATGTTTCTCTAAAAGAAACTGTCATAATATTCTAAGAAAGTTCTCCACAACTTCCTTTATAAATCACCTTGAAAATATTATTTTATATGTTTTCAACTATAGCTCCTTTAATTCTCACATGTCCTCTTCCCACTTGGCATCCATTGACCAGGCAGATGATTCACTTTGATAACTGAGAAGTGCAGGGTTTTCATTTGGGAAAAGAAAAACAACCTTTAATCTTGGCAGAAGCAGAAAGTTTGTCCTGGTCAGAAATAGTTGCAGTAGTGGCTTAAAACCCCTAGAGAATGAAGATTATTTGGAGAGAGGAAAAAAAAAGAAGTTCCTTTACAGGGAGATTTGTTTTCTTTTTAAGCTTTATAAATCTGATGGAGACTTACCTTCTCTTATAGCTGTGAATGGAGTTCCTTCTTCTTGCTGTAACCTGATCTCCTTCAATGCTACAACCTGATTTGTTAGGCTGCAAAGATATACATGCATATTCATCAGGACTAATAGTAAATGCCATAGTGTACACTGATGTGTCAAAAGTTACAGGATAGCAATATATAAAAAGATGTGGCATAACAATCATGGAAATACCCAGACCTATATCAGTTGTGCTCTGACATCAGTGTCAACACTTGATAGGCTGTTCATGGTAAAGCAATGTGAATTATCAAAGTCAGAACCAGGTATGATAGTTGGAGACAAATGGATGGGACTGAAATTGTGAGGATATTTGACATCCCTTCATCCATGGTGGAATGCATATACTGGAAATACTTTATAGAAGGCATTACCGCTACTGTGGACAGCAGGGCAGCCAACCTTAATGCTCATAACCTGAGGCATCTGGCTAGAATTGATTGTGTTAAGAGACAAGCAACATGGACTCAAATCACATCCACATTCAATGCAAGAGGCTCCAGATGCATATCCAGCAATTGAATTCAGTGTTCTTTAGCTTCCATGGGAGCAGGTAACTCATTGAGGTAACTCTGCATATCTGTACCATGATCTGATGTGTGTGTGTGTGTGTGTGTGTGTGTGTGTGTGTGAGGTGGGGGGAGGGGTAGCACAGGTTGCCTAAACATATCATTAACTGGTTACTGCTATGTATAATGTATCCCAACGACAAAGTTGCTCCAGCAGAATTATGAACGACGTCATTGAGTTCAAGTTGCTCACAATTGGTTTGAAAAGCACTTTTGATGAATGACATAGCCACCACATTTGGCATGTTAGTGTATAACAATATATAGAATAGTTATTTACACTATTTACAATATTTGGACTGCTATCCTCATCTTTGTTGCCATATTCACAATGTGTTGTCTGTTGTATGCTTTGGTCATCTTCAGGTAATTGGAATTTCGAATCGAACATTTTATTTTTAGTTCCACATGCCATGCCTCTCCAAGTTTTTGTTCAGGTACAGTATTGAACTCATGACTCTTTGGGTCATCACTGAATAACTTCAATTACTTTTATCCGCTGGGTCATGTGCCTTTGAAGACATCAGTGTATGAATGTTTGGGATTTATAAACTTAATGTGACCATTTTTAGCAGAGCTCATATTACAATTTGTTGTTATTATTGTTTTTCTCTATTACTTTGTATTACTGGTTCCCATATTGTATTCATGTCTATGCTTGGCTGGCTTAGAAGATTTTTGCGGCCTAGCATATGCGCTAATTCCATAAGCTTTCATATTTTCCAGTGATGTTCTCTGTGTATTATTTCAACCTCATCCCACAGTGGGTGATGATCTTCCTTTTTCCCCTCAGTGGATGAAATAAAAGACTCAGTTCACAATTCCAATCACCTGAAGAAGGCTGGAGCATACAATGGCCAAAATGACGTGAATATGTTAAAGAAAAGGACAACAGTCTGAACATTGTAAATAGTGTAAATAATTACAATATCTCATCTCAGAAATATAGGCAGATATAGAACAGTAGTTTTATAAGTTTCCTGTAATGTTTTCTTTCTTTTACGATGTGTAATCTGATGAAATGGATAACAGGTCGGTATGAGAAATTGAAGAGAGGAGTTCGAATTCCAATCAGGTTTGCTACATTCACTTATGTGCAAATACCCATGTAAAAGGTATCAATCCATTCGAACCCCTCCTCTAATCCAGCTATGAGTTGAGTAGCAGGACAGACTGGGCCCTACAGCTTTGATTGGCAAACAGTCTACTGCAGAAAGAAATAGCAACTTACTGTAGGAAATCTTTTGCCTAATCAGTCAGGAATCAAAAGAGGCTTGATTGCCCAAATGTGTATCACGTATGACACTCTACTTTTTGTTTTTAATTTGTTTTGCCTGAAATTCTAAGATAAAAGCATAGTTATTATTTAGTAAATTATCAAGATGTACCCTCATTTTTTGTTATTTTGATCACTATGTTCTGACAGTCAAACCTTCCTCAAGAGTATACAACCTTCATTGATTCTTGGAACAGAACCATTTTTGTTGCTTAATAAAATGTAATTGTTGATGAGAAGTGATTCTGTTCAAAAATTTCTGATTGCAGCATTAATCAGAAAAAAAAAGGCTGAGAAACAGAAAGCTAAAGAAACTAAGTCTATAGACTTATTATTTTCTATGACTTTTTCAGGTTGATAATATTCACAGTTGCCAGTGACAGGTCCTGCATCGGGGATGAAGTTGTAATAATCTCCAACCAACAGCAGAGTATTTGACAAGTAGTAAATGTGCAAGCTCAAGTAAAAGCCAGAATTTCAAATACCAATTTTCAATGCAAGCAAGCAAACTCTTTACCTGGAAGATTGGCACAATACAATCTTCCACACTTTCCATTTTCCTCTCATTTGGCCTTATGTTACATTAAGCAAAGTTGGTTAAATATGAAAGCAGACAGTCACTCCACACTTGGCACAACATAATCTTCCATTTGACCTTGTGCCATACTACACTAAATAAATATCAAGGCAAACAACTCTTCATCACTTGGAAGATTAATACAATTATTCTACTCTTATTTGAACTAGTTCTATACTAAGTAAGGATGATTAGTAGAGTAATGGATTGCAGCTTGGGTAGAGGAATCGGAGAACTGAGTTCAAATTCCACTTGAATTCATTTAATTCACTTATGTGCTAATACACTTGGGAAAGGTATGAATCCATCTCTTCACTCTCCAGTTATGCCTAAATAGCAGGACAGACTGGGTCCAATAGCTTTGGTTGCCTACAAATTTAGGAGAAGGAAAAACTGAATTCAAAACCAGCCTGGAGAGGGTTGGACACTGTCAGGCTACTTTGCCTTGGAAACATCACTGTTACTGCAGCTACAATACATGTGTCTCTATGACCCTAATGAGTAATGGGTCTTGAGATGGTGATATACTAAGTTAAGCTCAGTAAATATGACTAACAACAACTATAAGAATGGGACCACTAAAACGGTAGTGAAAATAATCAAACTTACCAACTGACTCCTTTGAAAACTGTTGCATATGAGCCTTCACCTAATCTTTCAAGCTTTGTGTAAGAAATGGCCTTTCCAAATGGTGACTGTCCCTATAAATAAAAGAGAAAATAAATTAAAATAATTTAAAATACTCAAGTAGCATGCAAGTTTTTATAATTAGCTTTTAATGCAAAAAATAGGGGTCACATTATATACAGGTAAATGTTTTGAAGAGATTAAGACTCGTACATTTTCAGTGACCAATTGCACTATACACTGGTCAATTTTTTCTGGAGGGGTTAAAATTCATGCATAAATATTCAGGGGTTGCACTATACATGAAGTTGGCTTATACATGAGTGTATATGGTTAAATATTAAAACTATTTTTAATATTTTGACAAACTTTTACCAATTTTGAAAAACTAGTGTGTAATATTTTTAATTTTCTTCATATAAGATTGATGATTATTTAGTGAAGAAATCAAGAAGAGATAAGCAAATGAGATATTTACAGAGATGCAATTGAAATATGACTGTATGGCGGGTGAACATAATTTATCAATTTTATTGTGTATCCACTCAACATTTAGTTGAAAGAAAATTACCAAATGGATGGGGGAAGGACTAATGGGTGTTAGAGGAATGGAGAATGTTTGAATATTTTTAGGAATCTAAATCCATGAAGTTATTTTGGGAATGCTTTGAGGGAAATCTTTGCATTCATTTACATTTGACAAATGTACTGCTCAGTTGAGAAGTCAGCACTGATCAAGCCTCTTTTCATTCCACATACAATAATTTTGAGATCTTTGAATATAGCCATGATTTGAATGAAACCAATGCACAGAAGCACAGTTTTGGCAGAGAGCCAGCAAAAAGTTCAAGTAATAGATGAAGAGAAGCAAGATCTAAAAAATAGGAAAGAAAAAAATAGGTTATGTATGTTCATGAGAAACAAAGAAAAGAGTGTTGAACTACTATGTAATATCAATCCTCCTATATAGTAGTGAATGTTGAACAATTTCCTCTCAGATGAAAAGAAGACTTGAGGCAACAGAGATGTGGGTCTACAGAATAATACTGAGAATATCATGTAAGCAACAAGAAAGTTTTAAGGAAAATGCAAAAAAAAAGGACACTTACACTTACTTTTTTTTTTACAATAATATGCACCTATACAAGGCCCGAGAGCCACTCGAAATAGAGGGTTACATAAGGAAAAGACTTTAGAAGGAACCATAAACCCAATCCTAAACAGAAAACAAGGAAAAAAATAGAAAATTTTTTCAAAAGACCAGAGAGAAGCGTGAACCAGACAATATCTGAACCTATTGAGAAAAAAAAAAGTAATTCAATGGTAAATAAAAATTCAGAGTCTTAGGTGGAGACATTAGAAATATAGTTGAAGTAGACCTTAGAAGGAACTGGAAACCCAATCAATCCTAAACAGGAAACAAGGGATAAACCTCTACTCCTGTTCAAAAGACTGGGGAGGAGTGTGAACCAGCCATAGGTGAACTTATCTACTCCAGTTGGTGGAGGACTGAAAAACTGAAGCAAACTTTAGAAGGAACCAGAAACCCAATCCTAAACAGGAAACAAAGGATAAATCTCTACGCTTGTTCAAAAAACTAGGGAGGAGTGTGAACCACATGTTAGGCAAACATATCTATACCTACTGATGTGAAAAAAATGTAAATAAATAAGGAACTGGAAACCCCATCTAAACAGGAAACAAGGGATAAACCTCCTGTTCAAAACACAAGGGAGAAGTGTGAACCCATCAAGTCCTATTGAAGAAAAAACTGTAAATAAACAAAGAACTCAATCCTAAACAGGAAACAAAGAAAAAACATCTACTCCTGTTAAAAATAAATGGGAAGCGTGAACCTGACAATAGGTGAACCTATCTACCCCTATTGAGAAAAGAAAAAGTAATTCAATAGTAAATAAAAGTTCAAAGTTTTAGGTGGAGACATTAGAAGTAAAGAGATGAAGTAGACTTTAGAAGGAACAGGAAACCGAGTCCTAAACAGGAATCAAGGGATAGACCACTACTCCTTAAAATAAGAGAGGTACTGTTGAAATTTTTAGAACTCATAAGGAAAGAAGGCATAGAGTATTTGACACTCACAGGATATACTGAAGACAAGAGAGATAAAGGAAAACAGTAGTTGGACTACCTAACGAGCTTGTGTAAATGGATGGCAGAACATGAACTAGAAAGGATAGTAAGGAGATAAGCATTACTTAGAGCTATGAAGGTTAGGAAGTTGTGGAGAGCCATGATTGCTGAAAGGAACTGGCATGTAGAAAACATTAGGAACAACTCAAAATAGTAGAACACAAATAAAAAAATGATGACTTAAACTGAAAATAGGAACAACAAAGGGAAGTAAAAAAAAAAAGTTCATATACAAGAGCGTGAGTTATCTCCAATTTTAGATTGCTTGCCTCTTCATGGTTTTAGTTGTATATTAGCAAATATTGAACACATTCAAACCTTAAACAAGAGAAAGAGTTCACAGTTGTCACACCCTTTCACTATTGTAAATGGCACAGATTATTGTAAATATATACAAGTTGATGGATGTGCATATCACACAATAGTGACTCAGTTCTAATTAGAAAGTAAGATAAGATACTCCAGATGAGTCAAGAGTAAAATTGGAAGAGAATTTACAAGCAAAACATTCTGTTTTATCAGCAGAAAACTGCAAATTGAGTGAAGAGAGGAGGGATAGAAGACTTAATCTTATTTAGCACACTATTACAGAGCCACCAGTAGCCATGACAAACAAAATTGTCAGAGGCTATATAGTGCCACATTCTGTCAGCAAACAAAAACTTAGCCTCCTTGAATTCTATTTACAATTATTATGAGCAGATACAAAGAAGCATCTGCTGTGATCAGAACTTTAGAGATCAGTTTCAGATCTTATCAGAGATCAGTTCTGAAGTAAAGGAGGTAAATTGTTACAGCTTCTTGTTCTGATGTGCATTAGCCAATATTAATGATGATACAATTCAATGAACCACAGTGTATGACTCACTTAACATAATTCATAGCAAAGATATAATGAATGATGGAATATCACAAGTGACACAGAAAACAATTACAGTAAATAAGCAGAGACAGGGATGATAACATCTGTATAAACAAATACACATTTTATTACAAACTAGAGTATTCTGTCAAAAATATGACTGATTCTTTCCAATATCTCTGCAAAAGTAAATAACTGGTGAAGAAAGACATTGTATGTATGTTTAATTATGTGTGGCATCTGTTGGTCTTGAGAAACCTTGGATCTGTGCTTAAAGAATTATGCCTCAGCTGCTGATGGCAGTGCAGCATCTGTTATGGCTGTACAGGCCCCCATAAGAGTGAGAGTAACAATTGTAATGAATACATCTGAAAATGCTCTCTCCTGATGTCACTTTGTTGTTTTCTTTCAGTTGAGCATATTTCCCTCGAGCCCTAGGTGTAAATTGTGTCTCTGGTGTGAGCAATTGTTGGTGACATCCTACCTCTCTATTGCCCTTATGGCCCTTTTGCAGGTATTCTTGAAGTAAAGACGAGGTTGCCCTTGTACCCTCTTGCCAGTGGCCAGTTCCACATGTAGAATGACCTTTAGAATCATCCCATCTGGCATAAGATATACATGTCCTGTGTGTATTTATCTATCTTTCTCTCTCTCTCTCTCTCTATATATATATATATATATATATATATGTAGATAGAGAGGTGTTGAAAAGAGATCTAATCTAATGTTATCTTTACAAAACCAATTCAAAACTGCATTTTAACACATGTTTATAACCTTGACTGAAACATTTTTATATAACAAATTATGCATTGATGGAACAGAATAATTTGAAAATGACTGATATATAATTTCACAGATCCAAGGTTAGTTAAATCATTTAAGAAGTTTCAATTTTGAAATGAATGACTGTAGAAGGTCTTGTTTACCTACCCCATAACTAGATGTCCTCTTTGGTGAAAACTGTCGTGTGTAGGCATGCCCTTCTGATTTAGGACGTTCGATCTTATCAAGATCATTAGATGAATCTATCTCAGTAACCAACATGTCTCCTGCAGAATGGTGTCTCTTTACTGGTGTCCACTTTTTGGCTAGAACAAAATATGTAAGAGTGACAATTAATTACAGGCCAGAGGAAAAAAATAATCAAACCCAATCTAGATTAATGTACATTCAATCAAATGTTTATAGGATTTTCTTATTAATCAAAACAATACATAAATTCACTTGGACTATTTTAAAATCACCTGAAAAAAAGAATTCACAAACAAATCTTTTGCATTTGAAAACTAATTTGTTTCAGAAAATGTTGAAAGCAAAGATTCTACTTAATGTTTCTTTTTCTTTAACCAAATTTGTTATATAATTTGATGCCATTGAACTTAGGAAATGCACAGATTGTATAACATTAAGTCATAGTCAGTTGTGTCTGAAATAAGGTTCTATGAAAAAATAAATCATATTTAATTGAGAAATTAAAATGAGGAAAAAAAAAAAGCTATCATGATCTATTTTTTCTTTATTTATGTTTCTATATTATAATTAAAAAAACCTTATTTATACAAAATGTCTCAGCTTTTCTGATTTCTTCATTTCCAATTCACTTTGACAGAAGCATTTTTGCAAATGGCTGCTCAGCTGAAAAGCAGCCTCTTAAAGAAATTTCTTTATGAAAGGATGTAAAAGAATTCTGCAGAAATGGTTTGCTTGTATTGTAACGGGGTGTCAGATTTGGTCTCTTGTTCATTTTGATTGTGGAATTCCCTTCAGGCATAAGGAGATGGAAATGACACTTCAACTAAAGAAATACTTTTTTTGTGTAAGTTGAATTATGTGGGAAATGCAATGCAAAAAACCCCCAAAAAACAACAAAAGCAAAAAACAAAAATAAATTAAAAAAAACAAGAGAGAGCATGAATGTTGGCTGTATAAAGAGGAATTAATCTTTAATGAAAAGTTAAATTTAGCTAAATTTTATTCTTATATGTTTTGAGTCTTCATATCAGTGAAATCTGGTCACTCTTACTGAGGATCAAGTGGCAGTAAGTTTTTTTCTTTATCAATGCAAATATCTAGGTAGTTCTAATTCTTTTTGCTATGCTCTTTTAGACAGGTTCATATATTAGAGTGATGAGAACACATTACTTACAAGTTTCACTGATTTTTATATACTTTTGTGCAAAGGGAATCATTTTTCTTATCATTTTTTCTATTTTTCAGTCTTTCATTTCATTTTACTAGAAAAGTGAACTCTGACTTCCATCTGTCTTTTCTACAAATATTTTCATGGCAATTGTTCTGATGAGCTTTCCTCCTTGCTGCTTTGACTGCATAAATTTAAGTATATTTAAGTGTGCTACTAGATTGGCAAGTAGGTCTCACTGTTTTACTATTGAACAACCTAGATGTAACCGTATGTTCTCTTCTAATAGTTTCTTTTCTTGTACCTCTCGCCTGTGGAAATCCCTTCCAATTTCTTGCTTCCTTGCCACCTATAATAAGAAAAAAATTAGATTGATAATTGCTATCTTGTCTTCCTGAAACCCGTTTTTTCATTGTCCTTTCTCTTTCTCTTTCATTCCCAGTAACCCATTGCATCCTAGTGGCATTATCACCTTGCTTGGGGTGAAATGATTTTAAAAAAAAAAATGACTAAACCCAATCTCACGATCTGAACTGGGTGATCCATCTGAAATTTAAACCTTCCAATAATTTTGCATATTTCTCTAAAAGAATTTCAGCATTATACCACTGAAATGTAAACCAGATATGAACTGCATAATTTCTAGTAGATCACCATTTCCATCCAATCATCATCCCTGTATTTTCTATGAACAATTGACAGTTTCATGCCTATATAAAGTCAGCATCTGCTGTTTTTTATTAAGATTTGTCTAACTTGGTTGTATTATAATTTATTATTTTATAATTGTTATGCTAGAGTTATTTTCGACAGCAATTATTAGAAATTATTTTCCTTCTCCAAGTAGTTTTGGCACAATATTTCCTTTATTATTATTATTAGTAATAGTAGTAGTATTGCAATTTCAAGAAAGGAAAAAAACAGGTTGTTAAAAAGTAAGTAGAAAATAAAATAACAAAACTGGAAGAAGTGAAAATGAGAAAAATAAACTGTAGAGTCATCCATCATTATTGCTGCATAAAATAGTTGGTGCATTTGGTGGAAAACCATACAGAAATGATTGTGAAGAAAGAGTGGAAATTAGTCACACATAATTTTTAGTCAGCTTACTTTTCTTTGCATTAATATGCATCTCTACAAAAGCTGAATTCTGTTAAGAACAAAGAAACTAATTTCTATAGATTTTGCTAATTATTATTGTACTTGGAGCTAATTTAAAATTATTTACATAAAGGGTTTCCCATACACCCCATTTAATATTTTTCATTAATATTGGTAATGTTTATAAACAATCTTTTCCACTATATATATATATATATATATATATATATATATATATATATATATATATATATATATATATATATATATACACACATACATATATATATATATATATATATATATATATATGTTGTAATGCTTAGCAAGTTTGTCTCACTGGAACCATTATGACTAAATAGTGAGTTCAATCTTCACTGGGTGCACCATGCGTTCAGCTTTGTGCCACATCTACACTGCGCTAAGAAAATCATTTAAGAGTACCACAAGACAGTGTAATGGTCAGCAAGCTTGTCTTGCTAGAACAATTACGACTGAGTAGAGAGTTCGATCCTCACTGGGTGCTCCCACTTACCACCTTGTACCACAACTAAGCCACGCTTACAAAATCACTAAATATATATATATATAATAAAAAAGCTTAAACACTAATATTCCATGGTCATAATTTATTCCATTGGAATCGTAAATACGATCCAAATCATCAGACCTACAAATTCAAAATATATATATATATGTGGTGCAGTTCAATTTATATTACAATGAATCATACAAAAAGTAAATTAGTAAAGTTAATATAAAATGGCAAAATCTCTTTGCTAACAAAATTGTAAAGATGCATTAACCTACCAATCACTCGATAAATATTATGATCCTTGTTTTTTAAAATTATAAGCTGTAATAGGTCTTTCTTAAATACGCAAGTACTTTTGACTGTATATTCAGGCAGCTTCAGGCATGGAAGTTATTTTGTTTCTGGTAAAATTCAGGTAGCATCCAAGGCAAAAAATTATAAAGCAAATTGAAATGTTTTTTTTTGTTTTTTTGTTAAATGTGTTATTGATAACGGATACAAACTTGTGGAGCGTGCAGTCACAACGCTAAGGCTGAATTTTTTTGAAAATTTAAGCAAGTGTCTTTTTTACTGAGATGAGAATTTAGGAATTTTTTGTTGTAAGAGTTTATCAGTCAATATGGCATGAACTAAATAGTTCAACAAGTAATGTCTCGGTTGTTATCTCCAAAATTTGCACATTGGATCAGTTCTTTTAAATCAAAAATGTGGTGCAGTTCAATTTATATTACAATGAATCATTCATACAAAAAGCAAATTAGTAAAGAGTTATATATATATATATATATATATATATATATATATGTGTGTGTGTGTGTGTATGTATGAATAACTTTGAAAGATTTATAAATATTTCTGACTATAATTTAACAATCAAAAACTACTCAACCTTGAACCTTACTGCCATATATACAAAGAAAAAAAAAGATGAGATTGAAATATTATATCAAAATATAATTAAACTCCAGAGACAGCACCTAATTACCAGTAATTCGTGATCTTCTTAAAGCAGAATCTATAAAAGACAGACCTGATAAAAAGGAAAATTCATTTAAATTCCTAAATAAATAACTGAAAATTGCTTCAAAAGAATTACCCTACCATCCAAAAATAGTAATTAAAAAAGCTGATAAAGCAAACATCTTTGTTGTTTTAAACAAGTTTGACCATAAATCAAAAAGTGAACAGTTACTTGACGATCACACTGAACTTAGAAAACTTACTAATGATCCTAATACTCAGCTAAAAGTGAAAATTAATAAATCGCAGCTAACAAGACAATCTAAAACTTACCAAAATAATCGGTGACTATAAACCAGGATACATTTAGGGTTCTACCAAAACACATAAGCCTAACTTTCCACTCTGTCTTATTATATTCCAAATTCACACTCCTGTCTACCAACTAACTAAAATGCTTAACCAATTAATTACACCATACACACCTAACAAATACAGCATTAAATCAACGCTTGAACTTATACAAATATTAAAAACTGAAAAATCTAATAATTTAACCATAGTATCACTTGACATTGAAAATCTGTTCACTAACATTCCATTTAGAGAAACCATTGACATTATTATTAAAAATATATATAATTCATCCATTAAAAATTAAGCTTAAAATATTAAGAAAATTACTTTTAACTTGTACCACTGAAGTCTCATTTAATGATCACAGAAATAATGTATATGTGCAATGTGATGGTGTTTCAATGGGTTCAGTTCATGGCCAATCTAGAAAATAATATATTTAGTACCACCAAGAAACCCTCCATCTACCTAAAATATGTAGATGATATTCTTATTTTAGTTAAAAACATAGAAGAAATAATGGAACTCAAAAAATCTTTCAAAAAAACTCTGTCCTCAAGTTCACATATGAACTTAACAAAGATTACAAAATCCTTTTCCTTGACATTTTAATAGACACAAATAACAACACATTTACTACCTCTCCATATAAAAAAAACAACCAGCAAAAACTCTTGCACTCTCAACTATAAGAGAGAATGTCCTAATTACTACAAAATAGCACATACAGAATTTAATTAACTGAGCACAAATTAATTCCTCCATAAAAAAAGATTTTCTACACTAAACTAAAAAAATATTAAGCAGACCCTCATTAATAATGACTTCCCAAACCACATTGTAGATGAACAAATAAGACAATATATAAAAAAACCTCAACAGATGTCAAATAGAATACTTCCTCAAGGGTCACTAAATATATCAAACTACTATATTGTAACTAGATGCAAGCTAACTACAAACAGGATGAAAAAAAATCATAAAGAATTTTATTC